TTCAGCTTGATTAGCACCAGTCTGGTTCTAGAAGGTTACTCAGTGTTGTGTAGCTTGGTTTTGGTGGAGTTTTGTGGGATTTGCGGGTTGTTTGGGTTTTTTGTTAACTGCATAGACACTAGGGAGGAGGAAGAGATGGACAGCATGGCTGGACCTACGGACAGAGACATTATGGGTAGCTCAGCAAACCTGGAAATCATGCTGGATTTCAGGGAAACCAGATTGGAGGGCTTCAGTGCACACCAAGTCTAAGCTGGATAAAAGCATCCACCAAGTCACTGTGCTTTTGCATGTCCTGCATCATCCCGATGGGACACATCCCGAGTGCCAGCAGTTCATCCGCACTTCTCTATTCCAGCAAACCCTGCTTATGTAGCAGCACAGCAATCACACCTTAGATGCTCACAATCACATTACAGCCCTTCCTACCATCCCTTTTGCTGTGACATCCAACAGAAGACAACAGTTCAGCAAGCAACTAATAAACATAACAGAAATCACCAATAGCTCAGAGAGCATTTCCTACTTCATCTTGGGAATGGCGGTACATGCCCTCCCACTCATAATGGATGCTGCCAGAGGACAGCTGCATTCAGTGTAGTGGTTGCTCCTCAAGCACATCTTTCCCCTTCTCCTGTTTTGCTTTGTTCCCTTTTCAGCAGTTTCCTCCCTAACTTATGCTACTTTTGGTATTTTCTCTCCCCTTCCAGCTTCCCAGCTAACAACAAATGGAGTGCATGGGATTTCAAGTCACACTGTCACGCCAAAGACACTTGAACGACTGTAATTAATCCAAACCAGCTTCATCATTTCTTTTGGAAAAGAGCAATTTTATATGAATTGTAACTGCAGTCTAGTTACCAGAGAAACAGAGACTCAAGTTGAGATCCAAATGCCAGCCCCCATACTGAAGCCCTCTTCTCCCTGGTGCAGGATATAAGCCCACATAACAGAGTATAGCAAAGAGTAGCCTGACACAGAATAACTTCATCATTTCCATGGCCAGCAAGGGACAAGACATCAGATGTGCTGTGCTTCACACACACCAAAGCCAATAACAGTGCTCTGGAACCACACGTGCTGGGGCCAATTAAACCCATCTTCTGCCCCTCTCTGACCGGCACCGTGTCAGCAGCACCAGGAAAGTGAGGTGTGATTCCCACCTCCCTTCCCCAGCTCTGCCCCAGCTCCTCAGGAAAGCAAACACTGCTGCATTTCTGCAGTCCCACTCCTTTCTTTTTCCCCTAACCCCTACAAAGGGGTGGCCAACACGAGCTAATAGGGCCTCCTGTGAGATTAAAGTAATTTAGCAAGTCAAAGCTGTCCTGATCTAGTAATCTCACCATCTCCATCATCCTGACAGCACACCCTCAGCAAGCCATTACATCCTAAAACACAGTGGGGACAGGGGGTGGGAAGGCCTGCCACAGTCCCAGTGCATCAATGCCACACTCACCTGCGGCTGCAATTGGGCATCAGGAAATGCCTCTGCTGCAGGCCTGAAAGGGACCAAAAAGGCATAAATAAAGGAAAATCCATCACCACCACCCTGCTGTGAGAGAACCCCAGTGCTCAGGCATGCTGAGTAATTCATCACCTCCTCAGAACATGCACCAGTCCCTTGCTCCTCATCAAAAATAAGCCCACCAACAGCTGAACATATGGAAGGCAGTCCTGCCTCCATGGAGCACTTCCAACCCTTTCCTCCCCCCAGAACCCCTAACAATAACTATAAAGCAGCCACCCCAAGGAATCAAGCATGTTTCAGTCTTGTGAAGGAGATATATTAGGTTGATGGCACAGGCATTAAAGAAGGTCTTCTCCTGGGGTTAGGAGGAAGAAAGCTCTGGGGTCAGTCCAGGGCTGAACCCTTCTAGAGCCTTCAGGAGAGTTTTAGCTGATGTCACCCTCACTCTGAAGCAAAGCCCCCATCGGTACACACCAGCTTCCAGCTGCAGGCACCCAGACCTCCCCCAGCCACAGGAACCCAGCACAAAGTCCAAGAGGGAGTCACCCCCGGCCTTTTATCACCTCCTGCCCCACCTGAACCAGTTACCCCAGACTGAACCCACCTGAGCCCCCTCAGCATCCAGAGCTGCACCACAGCTGCGGGGCCATGGAGGGGCCACAGCCCCAGCAGAGCACCCGGAGGCTCCAGGGGTGCAGGTAGCAGGGAATGACCCCCAGCCAGGCTCGGCTCCAAGCAGGATCCAGGCTGGATCCCACATGTGCTGCACTGCAGGTTCATTCAATCTATGCTGGCACCTGCGAGTGAAGAGCAGGACCGGGTGTGGGGTCTCCAGGTTTGAAAGCAGATCTGCCTGGGTTTAGGCTCCCCAGACACCACAACAGAAACACAAGTGCAGGCAAAACCCCCGAAGTGCTGCCTTGCCTTCCTCAGGGCGTGCTTCTGACAAATAAACCATCAGTTCCTTGCAGAACTGGTCCCGAATCCATGCGATTCTCTCTTTCAGTCACTGCTTGAACAAATGCCATGGCCCAGAATACCCTCCATCTGCTGATTGCTTGCAGAAATTCTGATCTGCTTTTCATTTACCATCCTAATTAAATGCCCTGCAGCCTCCCTCTCGCTTCTCACCTTTCCCTTGTTTATCAGCTCTTCCTTGCCACATTCGCTAATTATTGCAGGCATTTTTGTTTAAGGAAGATTTGCTCCTTTCCTGCCAATCTCCTCTTTCCACTTGACCCTGCAGCAAAGTTGCTTCTCAAAGTAAACACAATCTGCCTGGTCTGCCCATGTAAGAACAAAGACAGAAAGTGGGAAGCGAATGGGCAATGGTTCAATACATGGTGCAAGATCTGCACCTCTACCCTCCCCTGACAGGAGGAGCCGTCAGAGGAGAACAAAAGGTACAGTCCCCCCTCCTCAGCTGCCCCGTGCTGCACATGTATTGACTCCTGTGGGGAGCAAAGGAGCCGAGGTGGAATACGAGCACTGTTTATGTGAAGCAGCAGATGGTGGAATTACATAATCAGAAATGTTATATATGTGTATATGTATTTATACACCAATTTCACTGCGACTGTAGGAAATTACATCTCGGGGACACTGCCTATTGCTAGCTGTGGTGTGGGTCTATAAACTCTGTGACAAGTTGGGCATGTTCCTGGCTGCTATGTCTCAAGGAGAAAAAAATGAGGTACAGATTCCATCTCAAGCCTTATCCCAGCCGGAGCAAAAAGGAAGTAATTTGTGCTAAAGCACATCAGAGAAAAAGTGAAGAAATTACCATCACTTTGCTACATGAAGGGTTTGCAAGATGAGCGTTCTGCAGCCACAGCTGGAATCATCCGAGTGCTTCACAGTGATTCTCCCAGGAAGGACTTTAGACCAATGTCCCCAGCTCTGGAGGGGTTTGGGAAAGGGGCAGAGGGGCCTTTGCTGCAGCAGAACGTGCTGCATCCCCTGCACGTGCCCCAGCCTTCGCTGCAGCTTTGCTCTCCCACCGCTGCATCCCGTTCCCTTTCCAAGGGCTCCTGTCCATGGGCTCACCGGTGCCGTAACCTGCCGGCAGCAAACCCACAGCGCCCAGGAGCAGGAGCATGGAGTGGTTGATGCCCATTGCTGGAGGGAAGGCAGAGCCACAGCAGGAAGAGGCCCCAGGGTCCACCAAGGGAATTCCCTCCAGCAGCTCCCTGCTCCTAAAAGGTCTCTGTAGCACCAGAGCTACGAACCTCGTGAGGGCAAAACTTCCCAGCGCCAACTGCTTTGTAATGGGAGTCCGTAGTGCAGCTGGTGAAGTCTAAATCTAAATGCCACTCAAAGGCATTAATGTGAAAATCCGCTTTGTCCGACCTTCCTTTTGGAGCATTTCAGGCTTTCAAAGCAGCACAGAAAGAGTACAGCCAGTCCTGCCTCTCCTCCCTGCCTCTGAGACTGAGAGGAAGAACTCTGCCTGGCCTGGACACAAACAGTCATTCACATATATAAATAAAGCTTACTCAGGAAGTGGTCTTGAAGGCACTTAGGATAATCCTAGCTGTAAGTACCAAGCTGGCTCCTCAGTGTTTGCCAGACCGGGCTTCAAAATAGCATTTGTTTAATTTGTAAGTGTACGGCTTTAATGGGCGACTGGCCGGGGTCAGGAGCAACAAATGACTGTGTGGATCCCAGCATCGTGCTGAAATAACCAGGGCACAGCTCACCACCCAACTGGAGGCAACCGCCTTCACCTAGAGAGGAGAAAGAAAAACATTGACCTCTGTTCCCAGAACAAACACTGATGTTTGACCTGTCCCCAAAACAGAGCAAGCTGAGCATCTCCACCAGAATCATGTACATTAAAATGCTCATAGTGGCTGAACATTCGCTGCAGAGCTGGACCGTGTTACCCAAAAGCCACAGTCCCAGGTGCTCCTTGAGCAAGAGTCACTTGCTCAAAACCAGTGGTGGGGCGCAAGGCCGAGCTGGCTGCCCCCTCCCCAGGAGGGCAATGCCAGGATAACCACCATGGAGGCACCTGGGGACCCTCACTCCTGCCCAGACCCCACCGGGAAGGTGCCTGACTCTGCCTAGACCCCTGGGCCGGGACCCCAGCCACACCAATATCACAGTATCACCGATATCCCACTGATGAGCTCCTTGTGTGGCAGTAACTGGGACCTCTGAAATGGGCTGTGTCCCACTGCACCACATCACACACTGACCGGTGCCATCCCCTGTGCATCGTGGCTCTGGGGGGAAACCCCGGTTGCAGGGCTTGGACCAGCACCTTCACATCACCAATGCCACCAGGAGCGGGCTTCCCACCTGCTCTGTTTCAGCACACAAATAGTTAATACCACAGATCTTTTGAGAACAACTTGCCATTTTGAGAGGGAACCCAAACACCAGCTCTGGAAGCTGTATTGTGCTTGAAAATGGCTGTTGGCCTTTCAGTGCAGAAAGAAACAAGAGCAGGCTTTGAGCACTCCTTAATTTAAAATGTAATTTCCATCCTCTGCCTAGGACTCACGTGGGATTTATGCTATTAAATATTAAATACCAAGACCTTTATGCAATGAGGCAGCTTTATTGAATAAAATTATATCAAACAATGAAATCGCAGGCTTTGCAGATATTAACCATATAATGGGCTTCAGGACATGCTGCAGTGGAAGGACCCAGAGAAGAAGCGTCCTGCAGCCCGTGCCTGGCCTGGAATGCTCCTGGTCCAGGATATGTGGATAGCCACAAACCAGCACGTGCTGGGGCCGGGCTCCTTTGCACAGCTGCACCAGTGCCCATCGCTCCTTAAGTCAGCGAGACTCCCATAAAATAAGATGTTTATGAAGTTCTGCTCATTTCCCTCTTTGTGTAAAGTCCAAGAGCAAATTACAGTGTCTGCTGTGGTGGTTTTTTCCACTTACACTGCACTCCAGGGAATTACTTAGAATATTCTGCGTGAGGATGGTAATTGCATCGTGGAGCCTGGCTGTCAGAGTGACACGGTGTGATTTCATTCCACGTCTGGATGGGAATACAAGCACTTCTTGAGCGATTACCAAAATTGACTTCTAATTAACATTGGTGCCACTAAATCTCAATTCTCCAGGGCCTGCAAATAAACAAGCACAGCAGAGCCCCAAATACAGACGAGATAAATGTGCTGCACTAAATAAATGCTCACCAATTTTACTGTGTCTTTAGGAGGGAAGAGGAAACTGTCCAGGGCTCAGTGGCTCAGCTTCAGGGAATTCAGTTTTCCTTCTCCTTGGCTCAGCCCTGGCCATCAGCTTCTCAAACCCAGTGTTTCCAAACCCAGGCTGCAGAGGACCATGCAGCACACTACCACCTAATGAAAACCAGCGGTGATGGGGCAGATGACCTCACTCGATCCATTTACGATGCCCTTCTAGGTCTGATTTTGCCATAGTCAGGAATAATTTAGGTAACAGATGTAAGTGATAATTTTTATATGCTTTTTGAAGGAAACAATTTTCTGATGTAATTTCTGTTTCAGTAAAAACTTCCAGTTTTGATAAATGTCAGAAACTGCCTTTGAAAGCACTCAGGAAAATTATTATTACTATTATTTTACATAAAGAAGTCTCAGCACAAGCAAGTGGAGTTCTCTGCACTCCAGCACCACAGACAGAACGATGTTACTTTGAGGGGAGTCCTTGACAGTTACAAGCCTCTTGGCTGCTGCACCATAAAGTTAATAGTATTGACATTCCATGTCCTGCAAAGCAGCTCAATTCCTTCTGCCAGTCAAGTGTCAGCCTGCTGCAGGCAGGACGCCAGCACCACTCCTCAAAGGTCTTAGTTCCGCTCCAGGAAATTCCATCCAGCAACCCTTCTACATCTGATGTATTCGGGATTTCCCACATGAGATAACTCATTCCTGCAGCAGCAACAGCACCTGCAGTGTCTTGTGAGCCCCTTCCCTTGCTGTCTGCCCTTTCTGTGCTTCCAAAAGCACACAAACCTCTTAAAACCAAGAGGAGCTGGCAGAGTTAAGTGTGGCCTGGGAAGCATTAGGGTACACAGAAAAGATGTACAGGCAACCCTGCCACGTAATAATGACAGCTTGACACTATGGCTACTATTTTTCTACCAATGTTTTGATGTTCTCACTTCAGGTCATTATAAATGACTTTTTTCGGTCCCTAAACACCAGTCAGAGCTGCCACTAGTGATGTTCTGACCACAGGCAGGTGCAATAAAATTGTTGGAGGTGTTGACACTTAAAGATACAAGCAAATGAACATGATAAACTGCCAAGCACTACCAGCAAGAAACACAGTGTTCTTTCTTCTTAACAAATGGTTATTTTGCCTTTGGTTTTGTGTAGACAATGGCTTTTCAAATCACCCAGGAAAACCGCTTGCTGTCAGAGGCACAAACCATCAGACCAACAGACATCAGCCCTCCCTGGGACCCAGCACATGACCTGAGCACTTGCTGCCTTCCCACTCTTAGAATCCTACAGCTTCCACCCATCCACCCAAAGAGGAAACGTTCATCATGTGCCAGAACCGGGACCCGATGGCAGCACTGGGAGCCTTGAGCAGACCGGCAGGAGCAGCTCTCGGCTCCCACAGCCTGGTGGGACTGGGGTGCCTCTGGGAGCCGCATCCCCCTGTCTCCATCAGGACACCTGTCAGCCCTTGTCATCCCACTTGGCTTTAGTGCAGGATAACTGGTTTCCATTCCTTCTGGCTTTGTGTCACCCCATCCACTCCAGCCAAAGACAATATTTATGTTATTTTAAGCTTTTGCTACTTAAAACAAACAGATAGCAGCAGAATGAAAACACTGCCATGCAGGAAGCACAACAGAGACAGGAAAGAGGCACTGCATTAAGATGAGTAGGATTTCAGAGCATCTCTCCCTTGGTAAAGCTGAAGACCTCGTGGCTCAGTCTCGCTTCCAAGCTCCCCAAACACCCAACACCACAGAGGCAGAGCAAGAGGACAGGGGACAGGGCCACCTCCCCTCCACCCCATCTCAGAGGCTTTGTCTGCTGAGACCAAACTGTGGGCAAGCAGAGGGGCTGCAGCAGCTGCAGGTCCCTCCCTGGAGGGTCATGCCCAAGACTGCAGAGGCGATGTCTTCTGGTCCTTCTTTGTTTTACACAAGGCTTCTACTCAAGGCAGCCTTAGGTTTGCAGCACATTGCACTCAAGGAAAGCAGGAAGATGCTGTTGCTGACTAATGTTTTTCCTGGGAATTCAGTGCAGCAAATTCCCTGGAAAGTGAAAAACTGTAACGGGGAGTGCAAAATAATGGATTGCACCAGGAGAAGTCCTTCGACAGCAACTGTTTGAATTCAAAGAGAGGAAAAAATATGTCTGGGCCTAAGCAAGGCTGCTGACCATGAAGCAGACTTAGCTGTAACTGAAGTGAAAAGGCTAATTCATCAACCTGTAATGAGAATCTCATTGTCATTCATCTTTTATGTGAACATTCGCAGGCAAGAGCCTGGATGTCAGGGGAAAGCCCTGTAATTAATTTATCTCTGTTGTGTAAAAGGTAACAGATCTGAACGATGGGCTCTGTCCCAGCACAGCTGCCTCACACAGATTTGTTAGGTCTGATTTCTGCTTTCCTGCAATGGAAAAATAGCTGCAGAAAAATCAGAGCCATGGGAAACACACAGTTTGGAAGGGCAGGAGGAGAAGCCCACCTCCAGGAAACCACATTGGCAAGAGCAACTGAAACCCTCCGAGTGGGGAGTATAATTTGTTTGCAATGGGAGAATTGTATCATCTAGCCTAAGGTATCAAGTTAGGATTAAGACCAAATAATGAAGGAAGTGATCAAAATAATATGCCACGGATAATTTGCCCTCAACATATTCAGCAGACACTGTCAAGGCTCCCTGCAGTTACAAAGTCCTGGCTCTCTCACTGTTGTGATTGCATTAATCAAGGTCCTTTATTTTTCTGGAAGCCCCTGAGGCACCGAAGGACCCTAATTACAGACACAATTAAAATGACTTCCTATGGCAGACAAACTAGAGGGATCAATTTTAAACACAGATATCACACTGAGGGACACAAGACTGACACAGATGCCCAGGCAGTGGTGATCTCCCATAAGATAAAGGTAACTCTGCTTAACTAAGACTGTACAGTGGGCTCCCTATATCCTGGACCAGTGCAATGGAAGAGCCTTTTGGTGAGAAATGTCACCAACGCTCTCAGGAAAGCCAGGAGATTCAGAGGGAAGAAAAAAGTCCATTTTCTGGTAAAGGTTATTTGCACGTGGCCATTGTCCCTGGGCAATGGGGCCCTGGGAATGCTGGGGCTTACGTGTCCCTGCACTTGGGGCAACAGACGACCACTGCTGACAGGGGTGCGCTGTGGCTGATGGCAGCTCAGAACCACAACAAGCCTCACAGCTCACCTCATCTTCATCCATCACTGGAGACAGAGGCAGCCAGCGGAGGATTAACCGTGATCCCATCGAGTGCAGGGTTAAACCGCTCTCCTGGCAGATAGCACCAGACACAACCCTGCCAGCAGAGGTGTGATACAGGCAGGAGAGGTGGCTGGTGCCTGCTTCAGCATTGCCAATTGCAGCAGTTACTCCTCCGTGGCAGGGAGAAGGATCCATCCATCTCCCAGAACAACTGCACAGAGCAAGAACCACACAAAAATGCTTTCAGAGTGAAGGAGTTGATGTTCTCCTCGTGTATGGGAATATTTGACGACAGAGACCTATCAAGTTGTCACTTGCATTGTCACTGTAACTCACAGGGTAAATGGGCTCACCTTTCAATCCTGTGAATGTTTTCAAAGATAAATTTATGAAGTTAAGTCCCAGTTTTCTCTTTCCTCTTTCTTCTTCCTTTGCTAAAGCCTGTCACACATTTCAGTTAAAACACTCCAAATCCTCTCCTCTGCTTCCACACCAGTTTCACAAACCAGCTCATTTAACTAGACAATCACATGAAATAACCACCAACCAGACTTACTTTACTTTTATTCTTTCCCCACAAAACCTCCCTGAACTTGCAGCTTTACACCCTGCATCTTTCTGGGTCTCTCACCAGCCTGTGGCCTCCAAGAGAGCTGCTTTGGGACTGGCTTCTTTCATGCACATTTGTAATGCAGCAGGTGCTCTAATTCCTCTCAGAGGAGCTAATCCTTCCCCGGGGAAGTGAGCATCCTCCTCCATGTTTACAGTTGGCACTAGCAGCTTTTTCTTAAACCCTGTTTTAAATAATACAGCAGAGTTCTCATTAGCTCGCTTGGCAGAACAATTGTGTATGTCCTCACCACAAAGTGTCCCCACTCCTTGCTCCTCAACAGAGGCAGCAGCTCAGATGAGTCCATCTCAACTGAAGCACAGAGGCAGCCAGGAAAGATCTCCAAGGCCATGACCACGAGTGTTGGAAACCTTCTCTGGAAACCCTAGAATGAGGCCAGAAGCAGAAGCCATCATGAACATGGAGTCCTGTTAAACTTCTCAATACTTGCCACAGAAAACACAAAAAATGGGTTATATAAATAACATTCTGTGAAAATGTCTTTAAGGACTGTGCTTTGACATATATTTAAGATCATAAACTTCACTCTTTTTAATGCTTTTGGTAAGACTTGTAACAAGGAAAGACAATTCTGAAGTCCTTGACATTAATAAGTCTATTGCAAAAAGGTCACCTTCCCCTAAGAATGTTTTATTATCAGTGAAGCAGAATAGCTCTGAATATGTAATGACTTTTATCTGATGATTGCCCTGTATTCTTTTCCAAAGAAAGCAAGTGTCAGATGTTGATAATTTACATATAAGTGTTGAAGGGTCTGGCAGCAGAAAAACAAACTGGTTCAGAGAAATTAATTATAAAGCAGCTACAAGAAGAGACATGAAAATTAACTTCTCATCTTCATGTGTCTCTAGGAGGGATTAAAAAGCACCACAGGACTGACTGTCCTCCAGAACACTCCTGTACATCGCTCAGCTGGAGCACAACACCCACAGCAGAGTTACTTCCCATGTAAATCACTGCGAACACTGTTTCTCGTTTGCATTTGGGTTTCCCACTTTGGTGTGGAAACCACCCCTTGCACTCAGCAGCACAAGGAGGATTAGGAGGCACACAGAGAGGATGCACATGGTTGCTGGTGACAACAGGTCCCCAGTAGATCCAGACCAGGACAGAGAAGCGGGAGCGGCGCGATGGGGATGAAAGCAGTGCAAGGCAGCGCGGTGGGGATGGGGGCAGCGCAGCGCGGGGGGCTCAGCACCGGAGAGCGGCCGTGGCAGGGACTGCCCCCGGCAGCAGCCCCCGGTTTGCTGCTCAGCTCAGCTCAGACAGGGTTTCTCCAGGAGCTGCGCGCTCAGAAGCAGCTGCGCCAAAGGCTCTGTGTTGTTTTGAGTCATTAAATTACATTGCACTTAATTACTCCCAATCTACCACCAGTGAAGGTTTCCAACAAAAGCTGCCTCGGCTAAGAAACCTTTTTTATATCCTAATGATCTCATCTCGAGGATGCTTTTCAATGAGCATTTACACAACATCACTCCCTGTTTGCCAGGGGACGCAGTGGAAAGCAACTACTTTTAAATATTTTCTTCAAGAAAAACCTGGTCCTCTCCAGAACAAAGGCCCTGCCTCATCGAAGGCCGTTTGTCTGGGGACCAATTAGCTGCTGAATTTCATCAGCAAGACAAGGCTGTGCCGATTCATCAGTATTTCAAAGGAAATGTCATGGGTCCATCAACAGAGGGTGGTTCTTTGCTGCAAACCGACAGCTCCTGACTCCACACTGAAAGTCATCCCATGATTCTGCAAGGGTGCAGGACTATGGACACCGTTGGATTTGGGAGGGTTTGCTCCATTTCACCCCAGCACTCGGAAATAACCAATGTACAGTTACTGGTACCTGTTTAAGAACTTCTCCCCTGTACATTTCTGTTTATCCTGGGAATATGCATTTCCAAGCTGGCTCAAAAATTAAGAGCCCAGCAATGTAATTCTTTGCTCAGAGAGGTGATAGCATCTCCAAAAATCAGGCCCCCTCAGGAAAGCTGATCCAAGCATCCAGAAAGAAGCAGATTTAATTGGCCTGGCATAGGGAGGCTTCGGCAGTGTGCACCTCTCATAAGGGCACTGAGTTCCCTTCATGTGCCACAGCATCAGAGGGGTGAGAGACCAAGAAAGGGGATGGAGATGAGTCAGAGGAGTGAAGGCAGGACAGCAGCAATGGAGACCACCCATTTCACCAAGAAGCTGGTGAGATCTGAACTGCAAACAGGACTTGGCTTACCAAGGAGAAGCAAGGACAAGGGCACTTTAGCCTGCAGTGACAGTGTGAGGACATAGGACTGCAGGTCTTCGTGAGTCAGGTTAGCTGGAGTTAAACTCTTGAGGTGCTCTGAAGCATGTCCAGTGGCATTTGCACCCACTACAGGGCTGCTGACCTGCCTGCCCTCTGGTTCAGAGCTTAATGTGAAACAGGATGAGCCTTAATGTCCCTGCATCAGGAAATGGGTATTTAACCTAATTTTTCCAATCCTAATTGCATCCTTACACTTCCTAATACTGAGCTAATAAATGAGACATTTCAGCTTTCACCCTGGCACATCATCACACCAGGAAAAAAACACATGACAGATTAGGCAACCATTAGATGCATTGTTCATTCTCAGCCAATGCAAGTCCAATGCCACATTTTGCAGATGGGTTTAGAAACCGATGCTCTGTGTGGGCAGGAGCAGTAGGGTGGGCTGATTAAACCGGAGTTAACAGCAGCATTTGGGGCTGCTGCTTCTCTTTTATTAAGTGTGAGCTGGTTTGTGCTTTCTGCTTTCTCCCACCAGTGCATCATTTCGGATGGAAGAAATCCTTGTCCAGCCGCTGCATTCCCCTAACAGAGTCTGGGACCTTCCCTGCAGCTACAGGAATAGAACAGATACCCCCATACCCTCACATGGGGCTCAAGGTGTGCCTGGCACAGGCTTGAAATGTGGGAATGCTGGCTGGCAGCAAGGGACGTGCAGCATTCCTTTTGTCGTGGTCTTTCTGTCTTACGAGGAACAGCCTTGGCGGAGCACAGACCCGCAGAGCCCAATTCCCAATTGCACATTTCAGTCTGAGGCCAGGATGAAGAGGCTGCAGTGGTGTGAATTGTTACACTAGCGTTAAAAATTCAGCAGAACTCATTATCCTGAATTTAATCGCTCCCTCTGAAATCCTGTCAGACTCATTATGTTGGTTCCCTTTTTGAGATGCTTTAAGCTCCTCCAGAGAGCAGCTGTACAATAGCAATAATAATGATTAAATTGCTGTCTAAAGCTTCACTGGACATCAAAAATAAGTAGATTAAATTCACACTTACGGCCACTTTTTAAGGAAAATTATCATTGTACCAAACTGGTAGAGCTTATGATATGTCCTTATGGAGTCAGCTGAACACACGCTCACAGGGAAGCACAGTGTGAGCCTTCTGAACCCGGGACTCTGGGGGTCTGGATCAGAGCACTGATGGGAGGCCAGGCTGCAGAGAAGAGCAAAACTTGCATTTGGCAAAGATAAACCACTGGGGGAAGAGTTTAAGGGAAAGCTGAAGTGTCCGAGGGCCGCACTGGAGGCAGGAAGCATTTTTAGTCCAAGAGATGAAGATGGGGCATTTTCTAAAGTCCTCCAACAAAGCAAGTGCACAGAGGCTGTGCTTGTACCAGGCCCACTCTGCCCCCAGCAGCAGGAGGTCCCTCAGGACCCGTCCTGTACAACTCCATCAGAAGGCACCGAGTCCCAGGGCTCCCGCGGGCTGACGCGTTTTCAGATCAAGAGGAAATCAGGCTCTGACCTGACGGATGCCTTTTTCTTGAGGGGTTCCCCAGGAATTCCCCACATCCAGAGGCCAGAGGCATTGTGTGTGCATGAGCAACAGCCAGCAGGAAGGGCATGAAACAGTTTCACATCTCCCAGCTCTGTCAATAGGCCTATGAAAATAATTGTTTCCCCCTTCAAAATACCCAGACTTTCTGATCATACACAAAAGCTGCCACCACACAGACACCCTAAAGCACAGCTGAAGACAATCCCCCTTTTCAGCAAAGGATACCATGGAGATTACTAAGATTTAATCATGTATCTGAAACAAAACACAGGTCAGAGTTACCTTGAGGACAAGTAAGGTAAGCACATGCTCACTTTTTGAAGGGCAGAGGTTTAAATAAAGCCATATATAGGTGAATATCATCAACCAAATTTGTAATTAATTCTAGCAACTCATTAACTGTGAGAATGAAATCACTGGAGCTTCAGTAGTTTATGAGACTTTTGGATGTGTGTCCATTTACTCAGTGATGTATGTAAATCACACCACGGGTTTATTACATAGTACATTACTAATGCAGAGACACTGTCCATCAGAGCTGCAAAGAACCAGAACAGCATTTTAACTGAAATTCCACTTCAGCCCCCAGGAATGAAGTGGGATATAAACGACACATAAACCTTGTGCTAGTTTCTCCTTAATTTATTGGTATTTCCACTGAGGCTCAGTAAAACAGCCATCTGCTGCCCTGGAAGTCACAGTTAAAGGAGCAGAGAACCTGAGGTAGGTCTGGTCCATGCAATGCACTTGGTCTTTTGAAGCATGCTGGGAATGTCCCAGTGTGCATCCCTAAATAAACCAAAACTGAACTGAAAAGTTACTTCGAGCTATTATTAACAAGCACTGCACTGTTTTAATTGGCCCCCTGGTGAGTACTGGCCTAAGAGCGGGGACAATAAATTGCTTTACTGAGTGAAATTCCTGGTTGGAATCCGCAAGTGAAAAAGCCGCAAGCCCACAGAAACCATCGATGTGTGTAACAGTTCCTCAGACCCATGCGCAGAGCTGACAGCACCAGCTCTGTCAGGAGCTCTTCAGACACCTGCCAGTTACATCGGTGCCAAAACAGGCAGCAGCCCAGGAGCTCACACAGTGAAATGAAGTCATTCATCGGTTCCTGTTTGAAAGGTAGAGCTTGAGGAGCAAGGTTCATCAATTGTGTTCCAGAGAGCCCTGGGTTAGATGAAGATGTTCAGATTTCACCAAGAAAACCCAAACCAAACTAAAGGACTAAGCTGCTGAAAGGAGAGTGACTGCACTGACACTGGGAGTCTGCTGAGTCAGCATGAGGCGCACTGAAAGGCAGGAAGAGGAGGAGCCACAGTGTTATTACAGGAAAATTGCTATTGGAAACCATATCATTCCAGGAGATTTTAAGAGCTCTGATCTTGGCTGTGAAAGTGCGATCAGAAGCAGTACTGTCAAATATCCTGGGATGCAGTGAGTAGCTGGAACCGAACCGGGATGAGGAGATGCTCCTGTCAGGTCAGGTTTTGAGCTCACTAGGTTGGTTTTGACAAAGCTGAGTTTGAGGATGATAGAACTGTTAGACCAAAGACAACTGAACTGTTTCCTGATTAGGCTGAAAACAGAAGAAAAAGATTTTTTGCAGCTGATCCCAAGTATTCCAACTTTGATCCACAACACACACTAACCCTCACCTCTGCACCTGAACCAAAGCTCAGCTTTGCACACAAGCCATTAGCACCCCGGTTAGGTTGTCCTTATGTTCACTGTTAATGTTTGTTGTTTCTCCAGCAGAAACCAGCACTCGAGGGCATTGCTGGTGCTGCACCTCACCGCCACGAGGGAGGAGCAGGCAACCTCAAGTGGCCCCAGCCGTCAAAACTAGCAGCAGTGATCCAGTGGCTGAGCTTGAGGCTGAAATAGTCCAGGTTTTGTGTATCACTGATCTCTGGAAACTCTATTACTTTAGTCTCTACAAAGGCTGCTCCTTTGCGGGGCAGTGAGAGCATCCTGCAGGAAAGCACCAGCTGCTGCAGGACAATGGGATACACAGGAAGCACGAACCAGCAAGATCCGCCCAGGCAGCCGATGGAGTGCGGCTTGTTGACACTAGGAAACCAACCAGCCCCATAATTGCAACAAAACCTGAACTTGGTTAATCTCAAATGGCACCGGGTTGTGTAATAGCTACTGCTTTCTCTCCCTGACAACAGGGTCAAAACTTCTGCTGCAGCTTAATAACGGCACAGAACCATAAGTCATGTAAATATCCTCAGCCTGTCAGTAGCACAAAGATGTTCAGAGCATTTTTCACTTGAAGTACAAAGCACATTCCCAATTAGTGCTTAAAAGGAAGTTTGAGTCCTTTGTTCATCAACTGAAACAAATTGGAAGACTTCTGAATTAAAAAGAAAAACATCCTACAACAACCTAATACCCAGTTAAGTGGTTAAGGTTAAAAGTGAGGAGAGGGGAAAAAGGCTGGAGAACAGGGCAGAGTGATACAGCGCAGTGTGATCATGGTCCCAGTGGAAATACATCTGTTGATAAAGTTAAGAATAAAGAAGTTGTTCAGGAGGAGGCTTTTCAACTGCCCAATCACCATCTTGCTGCTCTAAGATGATCCTGTTGTGCTTCCTGTATTTTCCCCACTTCAATTCCTTATTTATTCCCTTTGCCCTTTAAACACAGGGAATAAATTCCTCTGAGACTCCTGTGGGATTCTGCAGAGCCCCTCTGGATGTTCTGCACCTTGTGCTGGATCTGGGACTTCCAGCATCACTTGGAAGTCACACACACAAAAAAAGCATCAAGTCCTCCTGAAGAAAGCAATAACTGAGGCAAATCAACCTCCAAGCAAGCTCCATCAGTGCTGCTGCCACCCCCTATTCATCAGCAACAATGAGCACAGGCATTGCGATCCCACGCTGGTTTTATAAACAGAGTGCTGCCTTTTTAGTATGTCACATTTAGGCAAGAAAACAGATTCTGGCCATAAAAAAGTACCCTTGGAACCTGCTTTTATAGTTCTTTCTTGAAATATTTCTAAACAGCTCTCTCATCACATGCATTTAAACAACTCCAGCCTCAGGAGTATAATAACCTATAGCAAATATGCTGACTTTTCCAGAGCATAAATGCAAGTCTTGCTTGCAGGTCACAATTTAATGAGTTCCCCAACTACAAAGCTCCCAAATGAAAATGGAATCAATGTACTGACGATGGGGAATCCAGCGTTTCCAGTGCATCTGCAGCGACACTCACCTGCAACCACCACCCCTACACATACTGATTTTAAGGTCAGCATCAGGCACAGCACCTTGATGGGAAGTGTGTCCTCCTGCCCTCAGATCTGCATCAACAGGGACCAGCCAGTCAGTAACTGGTAGGGAGGAAACATCCCATATTCCACCTGAATAACTAGAACAAAAGAAAACTCAGATTCATGAATATTTAGCAAGTTCTCACACTCCTATTCATGACAGATGTATTTTGGTTTTGAAAGGATGTCAAAACCATTCACTGCAATTCTCTTGTGCAATTAGTGCAGTCCCTTCCTTGGAGCAGCCAGTTTTGTGGCTCCACCCCGTACCTCCTTCCTGAGGGTTAGCTTGGGACTGGATACATTCAGAGAGGAAAATGGTACCCATACGGACATGTTCTATTTGGCTTTATTTCCACGTTCGTCTTCGGTCTTTGAGGATGTTTATGTCTGCTGTATATCTGCCATATGTTCAAGTATCGCTTAGGCACTGCTGCCATTATTTCTTTGGAAGAACTACCAAGACAAAAGAATCATACTCAACCCAAAACATCACCTTAGGACAAGGGACAAGGGTGTGACCAGAAGGTTACACCACAAGGCAAGCCCTGCTGGTACCCAGACCAGGTTGGCTGCTGGGAAGAAGTGGATGTAGAGCTGGTACCAAGCACTACCATGGGCACTTCCCCATCTCCAAATGGGCAATGTGGAGCAGGAGGGCTCCAGGCTCTGTCCTGAGCCCCATCAATCCCTGTGCCTTGCCAGGGGATCCCTGCTGCAGGGATGGGGGCCTTGAGCTGCCTCCTCCAAACCCAACACCTCCTCCTTAGGGGAGCCCATCCTGCCCCAATGCTGGGAATAGTGGCCGGAGCACTGGAGAGGCTGTGCAAGGGACACAGGTATAGCAAGTGCTCCGTAAGGGGATTTAATGCCTAGTGCTAAAACGCTTTAGCCATTCTGGAGGACAATATTTAAACAGATGCTGTTAGTGGTTGTATTTCAAAAGTCAACGGGGCTAAATAAATCTAACGTTCAGTTCTACTAAAAATGTTATGAGGCCAAGCTCTTTTTTCTTTAAGTGTTCAATTAAGCAAAACCACATAGATCTCCCCCAGAATTTGAGTGCCATGAACAGGAAAGCTTTTTGGTTAAGCTTTCATCTCTTCATGTAAAGAACTAAATTGATGATTTTTAAATAATTTACATCCCAGAAGTAGTATTAAAAAAAATGTCCCAAATGGAGCTAAAAGCATCGTAAATATAATTTCCTGCCAGATTATATGAAATGCTCTGATGAATGAATAGTTCTTAAAAGGACACTAAGTGTGGGCTTGGAAGGTCTGGCTCCAGCTCTCAGAGAGTGCCAGCTCTGAGCAGTGGCTGACTC